TATGATTTTTATAAATATCAGGAATTAGTTTTTTTCAACATAAGAATAAGTTAGAAATGTAAAAGAATAAAAAATATTTCAAGATTTGAAATACATTGATGCAAAGAATACTATTGAACTAAGCTAATATTTAATGTTCAACTCAACTTTCTGCCTAAGGAATACAATGAAAAGTAGAATAAAACCTGTTGCTCCGTAATTTGTAGAAAAGCAATTGTGTAATAAACCAGCTCCCCTAAATTGTTCTTCACAAGCTGCAAAACTAGACCAAATGAAGTTAAAGAAGGTTGCAATGTAAAACAATTAGATGTATTAAATATTTTGACGCACCTTCACCAGTTTTGAACTTCCAACTATTGTTAAAAGAAATTCGAACAACTGAAAATCCAAGAGACGTGAAAAAACCATTCAGTTATAAGCTACATAGATTTTCCGGAAGAGAAGGTAAGCAGAAGAGTATTTCATTAAAAACACCACTCTCCTTGAACAGTAACTTCCATGAAAGTCACTAAAGCCCACTATTAAGTTAAAAACAGAAAGAAAAAAAAAACAAAAGATAAAATTGAGGAAAGTAAAACTTCAAAAGCACTCTCATTTCTGAAAGTATCTACTGGTTCTCACACAAAATCAATCTACAAATATCATTAAAATATCATTAACAATTAACCTGGATGACAAAAGAATCAAGACTTTTGTCAGCACCATCGGAATCGTAGCTTCCTTCATATGGATCTTCTACACCTTCAATGGATGATCGTACATATATCTCTAGAGATGACACAAATGTCTGCCACACTGATTGCAAAATAACTACAACCAAGTAAAGGATATTGTACAAAAGTTAGAAAGACAGGTCTGTCGAGAAAACTGAAAAAGCCTCTAAACCTGTGAATAAAAAAAGGAGGTTGCCGTACTTGTAATATCACTTTCTGCAAAACTAGGGAAATTCTGAAAGAACTGGTTCATGCACTTTAAGACCTAATAATAAAAAAACAGACGCAAGAATCACAGCTTAATTGTGCACCAATTGACTAACAAGAGCACACATATTGCAAAAAAGTCAAGAAATAACCTCCATTCTAATGCTCCAGTCATCGGGGTCTTCAGATTGCACAGGATGACCTAATATGCTAGAGAACTGTTCCATCCATGGTTTTAGCATGGGTATTACCAACGCTCTGGTTTCTTCCTGATACATTTAAAAAAAACCAAAAAAAAACTCACTCGCAAACAATCTTGATAAACGATTGCACCAGTTAAGTTCCAAAAAGGTACCTTATACACACCACTCATCGCCCCTAACATGGATATACAAGAATAAACAACTGACAGGGCCTTCGTACGCAAATACTTGTCATAAATCTGTACAAGAAGTCCATATTTGGGTAAGAACATCATAAGAAATGATAGCCCCATTTCTCTAAATTTGACATTAAACTAAATTGTTAAGGAGCGATAATTTATATTTTAAAATAATGTGAAAGGAGTAATGAAGTATGCAATAATCAAAACGGTGCAAGTAATTAAATTCATATTTTCAATGACACCGTGCCTTGTAGCCAAGGATTAGAAGAAAATCCAAATCAAACAATCACAGTTCCAAAGAATGAGACATTTTCTAAGAAATAAAATATAAAATCAATCATGTTCATGCAATTGTATGCATAAAAGGACAAGTTCAACGCTTTCAGTCCATCCTGGACGTTCATCTAATTACGATTCAAATTTTCATTATTTTTAATGTTCATAATTTGTTTCTTTCTATGTTCGTCAACTTTTAGATTTAAGAGAAAAAGTAACTAGCATTCTAGTTCAAGTATACCCAACTTAAGCACCAAATACGTGTGCAATAGGTGTAAGTGGGTCAGAAACCACATACAAGTTTAACATGGAAATACTGTCACAGTATTCTTGCTCATAGGTCAAACCCATTGGTTAGAAGTATAACCCTCTTTAGTAAGTTCAGTGCGTTCTCTTTCTTAAAGTTTCTCTTTCCAAATATAACATCTGGTCTAATGTGAGAACTGAGCCAATTCTAAACAAAGACTCCCCTTGAAAGCTTTAGATAGAACGTAGTAAGTTTTTTCTTATCAGCAAGTTAAATGGAAGAATCTCTCCAAAGGTGTGAATCTTATTCTTCGATTTGTATTATAAAGCCTTCTGCCACTAAGAATTTGTCAATTTTCTATCAATCCAAACACAACTTCAATGGTTTCTTTCTTCAGCACAAAGAATAAAGCATATGATAATGCATTAACCATCAATCAGATAAAAAAAACAATTAAAGAGACGGTTGAACGTTCTGTCTCAGCAGTAAAAGGTAATCACAAAAATAAATTTCATTTTTCAGAAAACGCATTCATACCTCTGTAGATGAAACAATTGAAAGCAAGTGTGGGAACAGAGAAGGTATAAGTCTTGGAATCATTTCACAATCCAATTCCCCAGAAAGTAGAGCCAAGCACCTTAGACCTCCATGCACTACAAAATTTTACATGAAGCAAAAATTTATTCAATGAAGACTACAGTTAACAAAGACCCAATATAAATCCAAAGGTCTACCAAATGATACAACATAAATCCAAAGGAAAAACCAATAGTCCGACTGTTGGATCATTTGTGTTGAGCAAGTTCAAGTATTATTTATAATTGTCATCTCAAAACATAAAAATATTGCTCAGAGAGCTCAATTAAATCAATACAAAAAAATAGATAAATATAATCCAAAAGAAAAGGATAAAAAAAGACTACAGTGGAAAATAAACATCATATATATAACGTCATACCACCATTCACATTTATTCGATTATTCATCAAATTCAAGAGGCAAGGCAATAGCTCGGGCCATTCCTCTGGCCAATCATATATTGCGATTGATGCCACAGCCATACTAATTGCTGTACAGATTTTTCTATGGGAATCATCCAACGTTAATAAAAGAAGCTGACGAATGGCTGCCTGAAAATCAAAACAGTGAATTAGAAATGTAGAATTTTAATATTGAAAGGATGTATCCAAGTAGTGACATTGGATGGGGCCAGACAAAAGATAAAATAAAACGGAGAAAACTATAAATGACAGCTTATGGTGTAAAATAGATACCTTCTCATCATTAGAAACGGCAGGATGCTCAAATAATTCATCGCCCTCCTGCCAGTGTTTCTTGATGAACTGCTTTAACAGGACTGCAGCTAGGTAATTGCGTTAAAGTCAATCGTGGAATAATGCAATCCCAAAACAGTTAAGATGAGTAAAGGACATGTTTAAACTAGCAATTTCCCTTATGTTTCCTTGGAGCACAAAAATGGAAACGAGAGGCAAATAACACCGAAAAACGAAGAATTTTAATGGCAGTGACAACAAAGGATATCTGGCGCAATCCTACAGGAAGCTCCCTGTTGGCCGCAACTTTGGATAATGCAACTCCAAAACCTTAAAGATGAGCAAAGAATCATAATTAAGTCCATGTAGTAGAATAAGTTGATCGGATGGAGAAGATAAAATGAACCAAACAAAACTTAATCTGTTTCAAAACGTATATATAATATGATACACAATTCTGCTTAACGCAATTATAGAGCCACGCCAACGAGGCGGAAATGTGATTCATCTACTGTTTGGATAATATGGAAAAATGATCCCATTCAGGAAGATACCGATAGTACAAGAGAACAAACGAAAGTCAATAGGAAGAACAGTGAGCTGAGAATTATAGCGAAAGCAAGAACCTGGTTGAAGAGATGCTTGATTTAGCGAGGCTTCAGCAAATGATCGAACTTCGTGGTTGGGGTCGAGGGTGGCCGACAAGGCATTGATAAGCCACTGTTGATCCTGATCAATCACATTCGCCATCCTCGAGAGCGCCGAGCAAAGCGTTCGCAGTTTGTTCCGCCGTTTCGGAGTTCACTCTGGTCGGCTTGGAGACTGCCGCAGCGTTTACCCGCTTGCCTGCTTCCAATTGTGGGCTGCAAAAAACGCGCGTATGATGGTTCGGGGCAACAAAAAAGGAAACGGAGTTTTACCAATTTTGCAATTTCCTCCTTACAATTCTTAGGGTTCTTGCTCTTAAACCCTTTTGTTCTGCAATTCTCCCTCTTATAATACTCTGATTTTTGCTTTAAAACCCTTTTGTCCTCTCTCTTGTGCGGGATTTTTGTGATGGGTTTTTATGAATATTGTTCTAAAACCCTTTTTGTCACAAAGGGGAGAACAAAGTTTTGATTTTTATCCCACTTCCATTGGGTACGTCTAGGCAGCCCAATCGAAAATGAGCACCAACAACTTGATCTATGACTGAATAGCAATTTCTACGTAACCATGCGCGCATTGAGAGCAAACTCAAAGCAAGAATAGCGCCTCTAACCTACTACCTTTCATCTACTAAGTCCATCTAGACAGTATAATCAATAATGGGCACCCATAACCCGATTTACGGACGAATAGCAACTCCTACATAAGCATACGCAGTGGGAGCATAACTCAAAGCAAGAATAGCCCCAGACCTACCCCCTTTCATCTATCGAGTCCATCTAGACAGTATAATCAAGAATGAGCACCAAGAACTCGATCTACAATCAAATAGCAACTTTTACAGAAACATACGCACCGAGATCATAACTCAAAGTGAGAATAGTGCCCCTGACCTACATAGTCATTCTTGCAAATCCGGACGTTCCGTAATTGTTTTGTTCAAACTTGAACTCAATGACAAGTTCTTACAAAAATGACATGAGATAATTCTTAAATTATTAATAAATAAAAATGATGACTAATTAACTATAGTCACTATGATTAATTTTATTATTGTTGTCCATTGAGTCATTATAACCATCTTAAGTAGAATCAAACTAGTGCCGTTGTTTATAAGTGTATTTTCGTGGATATTGAAGGGTAATTTAATTAACACTCTCCATCGTCTCATTAGTATAGTATATCATATATATATATATATGAAAACTCAAAATACAATCACAACAAAAAAAAGTATAGCATGAATCAAATTCAAATAGGTTCGGTCGGATCGAATCGGGTTGGAATGATTTTAAAGGGAAAAAATGTGGTATTTTTTTCACTCCCATTTGGTTGTAATTTGATGGGTGTGCCTAAATTCCCAAGTAAGAACCAAACTCCCATCCCTTCTCTTAAGCACAAACCTCTCCACCAACACATAACATACAAATCTCTTCCACATTCCCACTCCTTCAAACTCCTCCCTTCTCTGCATCTTCACTTCCTTCTCCCCTCCTTCTCCAACCCATTCAAACCCACCTCTATGCTCCTCCCATTTCATCCTCTCCACAACCGCCAAGCTCAGCCCCACCCTCGTCGGAACCAACCACGCAACGCCGTCGCTGACACTCACATCACCCACCGCCTTCCCTTCAACCGACACCACTTCCTTCTTAACAGAAACATCCACGTCCACTCCTCTGCCTCCATCCCTGTAATTCTCACACCAAAAAATCTCCTCCCAGCTCTGTTCGAGGGTCATTTCGTAATAGGGAGAGTTGTTGATCTGATAATCAACCCCCAATTCTCGAACGAAAATGAAAGGGCAGTACCACTTCCCTACAACAACAGGGGTGGATGATCTGCAGGGCAGTGAGAAGGTGAGCTGAGGGAGGCGTGCACGCAGTGCGGCGTCAAGGCCGAGCGCTTCGGCGGTGGGTTGGAAAGTGTCGAGAGTTTTGGTGTAAGCTCTCCAGCCCTTGCGTGTCATGGAATATGGAGTAATTCCGTCTGAAGCCACGGATTTGAACACAAAACCATTGGGTTTCCCACAGAACGTGTCGTTACTGATTTCGAATTTTTGGTATGCGTTTGTTGGGTCGAACTTTTGTAGCGGTGCATCAGCAACGCCGAGCAATCGGCTCCGCCCTTCATCCTTTGAACTTACATATGCTAGCCTGTATGCACATAAATTTCAGTAACAGCACCAAGAAAAAAAAAAGTAATAATTACCGGCCTCGAATTTGTAATCAAAAGTGACCCAGTATTAAACAAATGATATACTTTATTCAAGAACTCTAAAAAAGAGTGAAGCCTCAATTAAAGGGGAGGTTGTTTGATGGCACTCCATAGGCTTAGAGGAGGCTCTATAATGTACTTTGATACGAGAGCTTATACCATCGTAGAAAGTCATGATTCATAGAAAAAAAAATGGGTGGGCGGAAATGGGGAAGAACAATACTCAACAAAGAAAACAGAGGTGGAGACAGATACCCTTTTTCACTTCCTTGGGATTTGATGATATAGTATTGGTTAGAAGACAGGGGCTGATCAAGAACAGGAATGAACAGGGCGTATATGTAGTCAACGAAGGTGTTGGTGGCCACGACCATCGTATTTGAAAGCCACAGCTTCTTGTTCTGAGGGAAAGGAGGGACGCTCACCGTTTCATCCTTCAGCATTCCGAATAGCCATTTGGATTCTGCAGCTTCGTCTTTGATCACCAAAATCCCCGAACTAGGACCCTCCGGCGGCGGCAGAGACAACGCCGACGGCGAGTTTCTGTACAGAGAAAGCGGCCTTGTTACATACATTATAATCTCTGATTTCTCGTTTCTTTGTTTCTGATGCTTCGATTTTAGTGGTTATTTATAGAGAGCTCCGACCGTCGGATGCTTCCTTCTTCTTTTTCTTTTTATTATTAATTATTAATTGTTTATTTATTTATTATTATTTGAAAATGTCACTTTGATTACAGTTTCAATCACTAATTCGTTAAATGGTTTTTAAATAAAAATAAGTCAAATTTAAAGATTTTAAAAATCTATATAGATGGGGAAATGGATAATTATATAATATTTAGCCTTGAAAATGTCAGTCAAATATGCATAGTAAATGAATAAATAAATTGTCAGTCAAATATTCATTTGATATTTAAAAAGACCTTTCACACATCATATATTTTTCAAAGGAGTGCAATTGCAAGTAAAATGTTTATTTAATTAAAAAGAAAATGATAATCTCACATTTTTATAAAGAACTGTCACTGAGGAGACATTCTGGCTTTCCATTCCTTGTCTTTGTCTACGCGATGTCTAAGCCAAACAGCCCGTTTGTGCACCAAATGGCAATGGCCAGTAGACAGGCACATACTCCAAGAACAAATAAAGAGATTTTGAGCAGAGTACACGAGTGGCTTCGAAGTTCACAGAACGATTACCAACTATATTCGGAAAGATGACAGAAATACAGATCAATATTTGTACTAAACCCTACATAAAACGAAGAAAAAAAGGACACTTTCTTAATCTGTTCTTGTTGAAATCAAGTTTTAGACATTAATTCTTCTTCTTTCTTCCTCGATGTTGCAGCATTTGCCCAGTTTGGCGGATGCTTGAACATCCATTTCCATGATTTCAAGCTTTTCCTCCCCTTCTTTATGCCTCTGTCACTGACTGTTATTCTACAGGAACCTCCGCCGCTGCCGATGATCCCTTCGCCGGTGGAGCCACTGTAAAGCGCCATGTCGAAAGCTCTCGAGCTCCCAAATGCAGAGTTGGGGTTTGAGAAAGGTCCCAAACCAAGACCCAGACCCAGACCCAGACCCATTTTGGGAACAGAGATGTCTGGCTTTGTTTCTGATGTGAAATCCAACTTGAAATCTATGAACCCAGATTCATCCATCCCGTTAAAATCGCTTTCTTTTAAAGAAAATACACGTCTACTAGCTAAACTCAACCCATTGTGATCGCTTTCATAATTTCCACAATCCCTGTGATCGCTCTCGAAACCGCTTTTTCTTGGCTCTGTTTCGCTGAATCCACTTCTTCTGGCGGAATCACAGACGAGTCCTCCATTGACACTCGATGTTCTTGCACCGGAAATCGAGCTCCGGCCACCAGAAACCACCATGTCTCCGCCGTCCTCCGACCCAAAATACCCGCCGCCACGAAAACTACAGAGAGATCTCGATCTTGAGACACCCATGTAATCAACCATACAAATATCGCTCTTTTCATCAAACCCGCAGACGCTTGATCTCTCACATCCCTTCTCCCTCTTTTTCCTGAAAAAATTCCCGATCCTCCAAAACCCACTCTTCTTACTCTCCACACAGCTACTACTGCTTCTCTCCAGAAGCACGATCTCCTCCCTTTTCTCCATCTTGGGCTTCATCGGACCCAACAACGAAACGCCATTTCTCTCATTCTCAATTAAAAACGAAACTCTCCCAACACTTCCCACTTCCACAGTACATGAATTTCGATTAGACGAGATCTCAGAGCAGGAGCAGGAGGAGAGCCTCTGCTCCCCACAGTCAGAACAAACAAGCCTGATCAACCGATCTTTCAAACAATCAGCACAGATACCAACAGAGGAAGAAGAAGGGTGTTTCTTACAGGGAAACTCAGAAGCAGAGGAATAGAAGTCCATATCGTTGCTGTAAACAGCCAGAGCTTTGCCTCTCTCCCTCATGGCCACTGCTTCCTTGACGGGCTGATAGATGACACTGAGATAAGAACAAGAAGAAAAAACTGAGGTGAATCAACTTGGATTCATGGGAGAAAACAAAGGAGCTTGGTCAGAATGCTTCACAGCTGAAAAGGGTAAAGGGCGAAAAGAAGAAAGACAAAGGTTGAAAAAGTTTTGACTTTGGTAGCACAAGAAATGCAAAAGAGGGAAGGATTCTTAAAAGAATTAAAACTTTGTAGAGAGAGAGAGAGAGACGTAAAAATCACGTTTTGTAGGAAGAAGACAGTGAAGGAGCAGAAGAAGGAAACAAACGCAAAGCAGAGTGACTAAAAGGAGGCGCTATTCTGCGCAGCCCATTATTGCTTTCCTGCAGGGGAAGTGAATGAATGAATACCTTCTTCAAATTGAACAATCTCCATAATAAGAAGGCTGGTTCGCTGTTGCTAGCGCTTCTGGGCTCTGCTACTCTGCTGCAGGGTCAACTCCTTCATCCTGCGCCCGAGTCTCAGTGGGAACAAAGTCTTCAAATCATACGGCCAAGATCCATCCATCAATCAATCGAGCTGGGGCGGGCGGGCGGGCGTGCATCCAGTCTCCCTCTCGTTGCTGCCGCCGTGCTCCCTCCTCCATCGCCATCAAAGTTTGCCTGTCGGATAACCTTCCACGTGAAAAAATTAAAAGCCAAGTGGAAGTGGAAGTGGGAGTGGAAGTGGGAATTAATGAAATCAGAGAGACGTTTTTAAGGTTTTATTATGTTACCTGTTGGGAGTGTTTTATTACAACAATGTCAGAAGAGGATTAAGTTTCACCTGTCCCAATCCGCAAAATTTCTCTTATATTTATTTTTACAATTAATATTCGGCCCACAAAAATTGAATGAATAGAAGAAAACAAGTAACTATATGGTATAGCTAATTTCAAGAAATAAAATTCTTACTTTTGTAAATAAAGTTACATCTAAAAACCCATCTTTTGATAATATTGTACCAAATTGTCATGACAAATTAAGAAAAAGAAATTGTCATATCATGTTCGTAAAGATCCAAACTTATATGATATTTCTCACCAACTATATGAGCATTGCATTAAACTTTAATCAATCATAAGAATTAAGATCAAAACCAAAGGAAAATGCATAGAGGAGATGAGGCCTACGAGGAGGAGGAGGCATGCAACCTCAGCTGTCTACTATCTTTTCTTACACATAATCATTACTCTTTGAGACATGACCCATACGTTGTCATCCCCACTAGATTCCGGGACGTGTATCAAATCCATCCCCCCTCCTCCGCCCATCGTACTACTAGAGAAGGATTCAAGCCAACGGTGGTGATCACACCCGAGGGCTCTCCAATTTCCAACCGGGGGCGAGTACTGGATATGACATTTGACGTGTCGTGAACAAGTTGGGCGGCCCGAATCGAATGCGGGTCCACCCTCGTTCCTTCACATGCCATGCATGATCACATTATATAGTCTCCCTGCAGTTACCCCTCAAACTAGATACTCAGACTAGATACAAATTCATTGCTACAGGCCAAACTTCAAATTTGGTAACCAAAAGAATATATATATATATATATATGGTAATAACTCAAACCTACGTTTAGCCGATATTGTCTTCTTTGTACTTTTTCTTTTGAAGTTTTCTTTAAGTTTCCACATCTTTATAAAAAATGTTTTGTTCTCCTTCCCCAACTGATGTGATATCTCATAATTCACTCTCCTTTAGGGTCCAACGTTCTTGTTGGCACACAACCTCGTGTCCACATCTCTTAGAGGCTCAACCTCCTTGCTGGCACATCGCCTGATGTCTAGCTCTAATACCATTTGTAATGACCCAAGCTCACCGCTAACAAATTTTGTCATTTTTGAGCTTTTCTTTCGGACTTCCACTCAAGGTTTTTGAAATGTATTTGCTAAGGAAAGGTTTACACACTCTTATAAAAAATGCTTCGTTCAAATCCTCAACCGATGTAAAGTTTCACACACACATAAGTTTATAGACTAGGATATGAATATGCTAATACATAAGCAATACAAATTTATGATACACAATCATTTTAACAACCCATTAACCAGGTTTATAATCCATATTCTCTGCACCACCTAAACATAATATAGGTCGAAACTTTATCAACCGAAAATTCATAAACCTTGGTTCATCTGACTATAAGTTAAATATCTCTTCAGACTTGCAAATCAGCAATTTATTTAAAGAAATGCTAGAAAAAGAAAAGGTACTTTCTGGTGTAAAAGTCAAAAATTAAAACGTCATATTTGAAACCATGAACGAATGGGATCTCAAACACCACATACAAAGTCAAGTAAAGCCCTTTACATAATGCAAAAGCTTTCAAAATTGAAAAATACAAAAGAACAAGGAAAAAGAATTAATGAAGAGAATATCAGCCCCACAAATGGATTTCAAAACATCTCTTATGTACATGTTATAAAAAATAATAATTAATAATTTGTCCACAAAGGTATAAATAAGTAGGACCGACCTCAAATATTTTTCTTGCCACATATATATTATATCATGCATTATTGGAAACTGGCATCATACACCATACTCCGAGGTAGGTACTTTAGAGCAGAGAAAAAGGTAGAAGGTATAGATCATAATAGTAAAAGTCGCACGCTCCATACACGCGCGAGCATTTTAAATTATTGACAAAAACATTAATTTAATATTGGAAAAAGAAAAAAGAAAAAAGAAAAAAGAAAAAAAAAGCTTAGTCCCAGTTAAGTTGTAATATAGTTGGCATTTGGTAATGATGATGTCCCTACGGACTTCCCTTAATTAATAATTTTGCTATTGTTTATGTAACTCATAAGCTTTAACCAAGGACTTAATGGGATTGTCACTGTCAATATTTATGCATGATTATGAGCATATCCTATCTTGATAAAACAACAAAGATTATGTCTTACTTTCCATTTAATTTGAATGGGCTCATGATTAAATTAAATACCAACCTACCCCAGCTTACATTACATGCTCCTAAGAAATATACCTTTGCTGTCTGACGTGCTCTGTTTCCATTGGATGCTTCCCATTTCTCTGTGATCATAGATTAGATGGCTGAATCACATTTTCATCATTTAATCAGAATTTA